GGAGACCCGTGCAAACATCTCAAATCCCATGTGAAGCTGCATGTCCTTATTCCATCCCATTCCATCAATGCTTCGCATCAAAGCTCGAGAAGGTTCTGGAGCGCAAGGGTTTATAAGAGCGACAGCGCGCGCTGCGTTCAGGCTGTAGAACAACAGTCACACAAACAGAGACGGACGCGACGCGACACAGCGAGCCGGCTTTTCCTTCTTCTTTTATTTCTGTGAGTGCTATCAAACTCATAACACACAAATACGATGCGCGAAGCTTTATTTGAAGTATTCTCTAGAGTCATTCACTAATGTAACGGACAGTTTTAAGTATCACTTTAGCTTTCAAGTAGCCTACTAACTACAGTCTGTTGTTATTCAAGTGACCGCTTGCATTAACCTGCTCTAATATTGTTTCATTTATAATATGTATGTCTAGTGGCATGATTAAACATTGCATCAACATTGCATTTATTATGTATTTTAACTAAGTCATATAGGCGTAGGTAGTGGTAGTAGGCAGGACTGTTGATATGGTGTGTTCCTGTAGCTGAATCCTGTCAAAGATGGTTCGAGAAACCGGTTACTACGATCTGCTCGGCGTGAGTCCCAAAGCCTCGCTGGACGAGATCAAGAAGGCATATCGGAAACTGGCCTTGAAATATCACCCGGATAAAAACCCGAATGAAGGCGAGAAAGTAAGTGGAGGTGCTGAGCCGCGTGCGGACACCGTATCATGTTTCACGTTGCCTGGTAAATGAAAGCGACAGAAATAAGAGGAACTTTCTGGAAGTGTCCCGAACACTCATGTGAGCTGCTGCATGCATTTCTAAACATTGCTCTGAGATCTATCTGCATATATGGATGCAAATAATTCATGCTGATTTGCATTTTTTTTTAACTATATTTTTATCTTATTTTATTTTACTTAATAAAACAATACAAGGTGCAGACAGTAAGGGGGAAACATCACAGTTTGTTTTTTAAGAATTTTATTTAATAATTTTTTTAAACTTTATTTAGTTTTATTTTATGTTGTTTTATTTAGATATTTATATAACTTTGAGAGGAAGAGTCCAAACTGCCAGTTGCCAAAAATAAATACAAATAAAAATCATGGAGGGAAAAAAAAAATCCCAAATATTAACGTAAGAAAAAAAAATCTAACAAAAAATACTGTGATGAAATGACAAAAATAATAAGTAATTAAAGTTGGGGGGAAATGAAAAATCCTAATACAAAGTGCTGTAAAAAAAAGTGAAGTGAAAGAAGGAAAAAAGAAAAGAAATGACCAAAAAGAAATTTAAGGTAAAAAAATGAAGAAAGGTGTATAGAAAGAATATATATTTTAAAATACTAAATAATTTAGTTAATTATTAAAGGAAAATACCTGACACAGGAAGGCTTTATGGCACTTAGGTCTTCAGTAGAACTCATTTGAACTGTTGTTATATGCTTCATGGAAACTGATGCATGATGGGAAATGTTTATGCATGCATTATTACAATGAGTAATATAAGGATCGTTTGCAATTCTCCAGTTCAAACTCATATCACAAGCCTACGAGGTCCTGTCAGATGCCAAAAAGCGGGATTTGTATGACCAAGGTGGAGAACAAGCCATAAAGGAAGGAGGCATGGCAGGAGGAGAATCTCCCATGGACATTTTCAACATGTTCTTTGGTGGTGGATGCAGAATGCAGAGAGAAAGGAGAGGTGAGGCATTTATTTACTGCATCAGGTGGCAGTGAGCAGCTGTGGTGTTTTGTAACGTCCCCCCATGGGAAGTCAACGAAAGGTTTTGGGGGTTTTAAATATAGTTTGTGCACTTTAATGTTTCATATCCTGGTTGTTGGTAGCTAATACTGTTATCGTTTTCTCTTATTCAGGTAAGAATGTGGTTCACCAGCTTGGAGTCACACTGGAGGAATTGTACAATGGCTCAACAAGAAAACTCGGTCTTCAGAAGAACGTGATCTGTGAGAAATGCGATGGTAAGAAGGTTACTAGTCTGTTGAGTTCATTTAATGGGAAAATTGTTATAATGATATTGTAGTTCAAGACCCAGTGGTGATTTAAGATGTAAATGATCTGTCTTGCAGGTTATGGAGGCAAAAAAGGCACAATTGAAAAATGCTCAACATGCAAAGGAAGAGGGGTTCAGGTCCAGGTGCAACAGATTGGACCGGGAATGATCCAGCAGATTCAAAGCATGTGCTCTGACTGCCAAGGACAGGGAGAGAGGTTCAACTCCAAGGACCATTGCAAGAACTGCAATGGACACAAAGTAGAACGCAAGAAGAAGATTCTTGAAGTCCATATTGACAAAGGTAGAAGAACATGAACTTTGCTTCATTCCAGGCCTTACTACCTTCTATATTCTTAGAGTATTAAAGTATTCTAGAAACATACTAATAATGGTGTTTGTCACAGGTATGAAGGACGGCCAGAAGATCACATTCCATGGAGAAGGAGATCAAGAGCCTGGACTGGAGCCTGGTGATGTTCTAATCGTACTGGACTTGAAAGAACACCCCGTCTTCCAAAGAAAAAATGACAACCTGATCATGAAGATGAAGATCAAGCTGGTGGAAGCGCTCTGTGGGTTTAAAAAAACAATTTGTACACTAGATAACCGGTTGTTGCTTATCCACTCACCTCCAGGTATGTCCTATATACTATTTATTTGTGAATAATATTTGAGTTTGCATGAATGATATTTCAATCAATATTTAATCAATGAAATATTTAAATTATTCAATAAATACATTTCGATTCATTTGAATTTTTATTCTTTTTTTGTTTTAGGCAAAGTAATAAAACCTAATGATCTAAAATGTATTCATAATGAGGGAATGCCTGTCTATAGAGACCCTTATGAGAAAGGTCTTCTCATCATACAGTTTGAGGTAAGTCAGTACCGCCTGTTATACATTTTAGTGAGACTAATCTGATGTGATCTGATTATATTACTATCAGTTTTATTATTTTTATTACATTATGGTTTATTTTATTTGATGCTGCTTCACATCTTCTAGAAACAAACAATAAATAGATGGCCTACCGCCAAGTAATAAATTAAAATCATTGAAAATAAAAAAAAAGACGAATTAATTTTTAATCTGATTTTTGATAATTAAAAATCTTACTATTATATTACTATTCTTTTAATACTATTTGTATTTAAGTTTTGCTTTGCATCTTCTAAGAACAAAAACCAAATTAATTCAGTATAAACTTAATTAGACAAATTAATTTAATATAAATTAAAATACTGAAAAGAAATAAAAATATGATTATTATGATATTCCTTTTTATTATTTTATTTTGATTAGCATCTTCTAGGAACAAAACAAATTGCCTACTGCTAAAAGAAAAACAAGTTACTAATAAAAACGAATTAAATGCAAATGAAAGTAATTTAATATAAATCTTGTGTGTGATGATTGTTTTAATTATTTAATTTATTATTGATATTTTATAGTATTTTGCTTTGCAACTTCTATGAAAAAAAAACTAAACTAAATTCCTACTGTCAAATAAATAAAAATTGTCACATGGAAAAAAGTAAATGTGTAAAAAAACAAAACAAAACAATAATAATAGAGGAAAAACTTGTGTGAAAGCAAACAATGATTAAATTGTAATTTGTGTTGGGACGGTCACATCTTACTGAAGCCTTTCTGTTCCCTCAGATTGAGTTCCCAGATAAACACTGGCTACCTGAGCACATGCTGCCTGACCTGGAGAGGTTACTTCCAGTCAGAGATCACGTCATGATGTCAGATGATATGGAAGAGGTTGACCTGTGTGAAGTAGACTATGAAAGACAAAAGAGAAACTTCAGTGGTGAAGCCTACGATGAAGACGAAGGCCCCAGGCATGGTGGCGTCCAGTGCCAGACTCAGTAAATGTCATGTATAAGAAACATTGGTGCAATACTTGTGTGACTGCAAATATACACTGAATATTAGGCCGGTTAAATTTAGTTCTTGCCGAGCAAAACATACAGCAAGAATTTCCTTACCAAGCCTTATGAAACGGACCATTTTTTTGCCACCGTTGGAATTCTTCTTTCTGATGTATCTGATGAGCCAGGAGTTTTTTGGCAATTACCACCATAAATTAATATTAACCGATATTTAATTAAAGCAACTATTTTGGATAAAAATGTCATTCATTTACATATGAAATTTAGTAACTTAAATTTGCATGTAAATTATTCCCTATGTTTGAACGTGTTCACTTTTGTATGTTAATCTGTCGATGTGCTTTGGTCAAGAGTAGGGTGCTGTACTTTTTTTTTTTTTTTTCCCCAGTTGAAAATCTATATTTGTTCATTTTCTAAGAATGTGACACACCATACATTTAACAGGTTGTTTCCTTCCTTTAAATGTTTTTTATTTTTCACAAATAAAACATTTCATTACAATCCCTCCTTCACATAACTGCAACTGAATGAAAGCAATTTAAAAAAATCTTTTCAATGTAAAATATTTACAGTTTATAGTGTTCTAGCTAATTTTATATTGTATAAAACCCTCACATCCTATTTAAAGTCTGGGGTCAGTAAGATTATTAGTTATTTATTTTTTCAAGAAATCAAAACATTTAATCAACAAGGATACATCAAATTGATCAAAAGTGATAGTAAAGATATTTAGAATGGAAAAATCCACTTCAGATAAATGCTGTTCTTTTGAATTTTCTATTCATTAAAGAATCCTGAAAAAAAGGTTTCCACAACAATATTAAGCAGCACAACTGTTTTCGATATTTATAATAATAAGAAACTCAAATTAACATTAGAACGATCGTGTGACACTGAAGACTGGAGTAATGGTGCTGAAAATTCAGCTCTACATCATAGGAATAAATTACATTATAAAACAAAATAAAATAGAAAAAAAAAGTTATTTTAAATAATCATAATATTTCACAATATTACTATATTTTTCATCAAATATACACAGCCTTGGTGAGCATAAGTGATTTAAAAAAAAAAAAGACTGAAAATCGTACCCTCCCCAAACTTGAACGGTAGTGTAGATGCATGTAAAAGGTTTCAACAATAAAAGATAGATGTTAAAAATTACATAACATGACGTCAAGGTGCTGAATAATATTGCACGAGAAGAGAAATGAAACTGAAAATGTTGCACTGACTGTTTTGAATATGTTTGTTTGGATTAAATTGCAGGATGCAACTGTATCATGCAGAAGAAACTATTCAGAAGCACTGAACTGATAGCATGGTAGAAAGAACCTGCCATGCACCATTCATAATCACATTTAAAGTTCATTCATTGTAATCAATGAAAAAGTAAGGCATTAAGAAGTTGCACAATTCTTTGTATTCAAAGCATCACTCCTTTTTCATCCTTCTCAGTGCTGCTTTCTTCTGAAAGAACAACCTATTTGAAAAATGAAAATGCGTAGCTTGAGATACTGGATCAAATATTGTGATTTGTAGTTACTTCTGATTCAAAAGCACAACCCAGACAGCCTGGATATGTTTTACAATCATTCAGCAAATACACACCCTCAGTCAGCCTTGCTTTTCCTCCTGTGGGCTGGCAGAGCACTGTTGAACACCCAACACACAGCACAACCGTCTGCGCATGACTGAACACAGTCGTGATCTTATAACAACCTGCATGGAGATAAGAAGAAAAGATTACACTTCCTACAAGCGATATATTACACATAAGGCAAACAAAGCTTTCTTCTAAAGATCTCAAACCTGGGCATTTTACATCCATGAAGTACGAGTTGGGACTCTGCACAAGCCTTTCTTCTTATGCTGTCTTCTCTCAAAATCAAAGGATGGGTTCAGCAGATCTTTGGCCAGCTGTTGAAAATATAGTTAAAATTAGGGCTGCCACGATTCCTCGATTAAATTTGAGTACTCGATTTGAAAAAATAATCGATTGGATTTTGCCCATGTCGAGTTACCGTTTTGATGTCCACATACTCAAGAAATTAAAGTGGCTGTAGCATTTCCATCATAAAGAAATGGCCAAATATTAAAGATTAAGTGCACATTTGAATTAAATGTTGTTTAGTCAATATTAAACAAGGATTAGATGATCACACTGTAAAGTGTAAAAACAATCGTCAGGGCGTTGGCGCCTCTGCAGGCATTTGTTATAATGTGTAATGTTCTATTGTTTATAACACATTATGTATTTTACCAGTTTTGTTCAATAAAACCATATGATTACTTGCTTTTGATAGTTTATTTGAACTAATTATTATTGCCTCATTGCTATTATATATGTATTTTAAGTAATTTTAAAGGCTACTGTTCACTTAGGTCTATTTTTATTACCACACAATTTTTTTAATTATAATTATCTGATTACCCAATTACCAAAATAGTGATAGCCCTAGTTAAAATATTGATTTTTTTTGTATATTAAATAAATCATGAAAATATTTACATATAATTACACAAACACTAGAATTTAATTATTTACTTAAAATTACACACATAAAATATTTAAAATGTATTTTATATATATATATATAGAGAGAGAGAGAGAGAGAGCAATTATGTAAATATTTAATTTTAAATGTGTTATGTAAATATTATATATAAATAACTAAATAAAATATTTTTAAAAATTACATAAAATTTAATTGTTCTCTCTCACACGCACCCACCCCCTATAAATGTTACTATATACTTCCTCCCACAATATGACAGTCATTTTACACTCTTAATAACAAAATATACCATCTAGGCAACATTAGATTATATTTATGTAACAAAAACACTACAGCAATAACATTACCGATTGACAACATGCTTCTTTGCACACAAAAACATTGCTCAACAGCCATATTGATCACTCTCATCAATTTGTCAGTCTGAAAACTATAATACCTTACTTTTAAAAACACAGATAAAACATCAATCTTATCCAACATATCATTTTACTCGGTGCAATGCACAAGTTTAAATATTACTCGTGTAAGTGAAACATTAGGCCCTATCCGAACCCTGCGCAGCACCACGTGAAATCACAAACTTTCCCATGTATATCGCACGGTTAAAACATCCAACAAGTTTGACATGAACAACTGTCAAATGCGAGAATCGCTGTCTAGTTGAGCAAACGCACTTACAGGCATTGTCGGGAGCCGCTGATATTCGCATTCGTGGGTCTGCTGCTTTCCTCGAATCTCTCGATGACTGCAGGGTTGCCACGCGCAGCTTCATAATAAATCGGATGAAACATGCCCAGGCATGCTCCACAATACAGTTTTTCTCAATTGCTTTGGCACATTTTTCGAAACTCAATAAGAAATTCCAATCTGATGTGAACAAGAAGCTAATTGTTCAGGGATCTGAACTTATTGTTTCGGGAAAAAAAAGTTTCATTCGAGAATTGAGCCAAAGCAATTGAGAAAAACTGTAAAACACGCCTTTATACATGAGATCTTATAAAACCTGACAACATTACAGGGATTTCCTGAATATTACATCAGCTCGACAACGGTAAGTGATGGCGAGTTGGTGAAATGTTGCTGTCGGTCACCTCATATTTTAACAAAGAACATTGATTGCAGCTTTACACAATATGTATATAGGTTGTCTATATATATCTATATCTATCTATCTATCTATCTATCTATATATATATATATATATATATGCTGTATAATTACAAATTGTAATAAAACAAAACAAAACAAAACAAAACAAAACAAGTAAACCCTCTGGATTAATAATTCCCGTACTGGCAACCTTAATGGTAATTCTCAGAGCTGGAGCTAAAGAGATGCGGCACCTACTGTTTTATTAGCAGCTCCCGTCCCTGGTTTGGGATTACTCACCTCTGACTGGACGAGACATCTGTCAATCAACGTATACAGGGAAGAACCAGCCGAAGAACAGCAGAGTCGTTGTTGGCTTTTTGACGCGATCGGCCCGGGGTTCGATCCCGTCTTTTGCCGAACTTTTTTTCTCTCCCTTTTCAAATCTCGTATCACATCGTAAAGGCATTTATTTTCAATAAAAATTAAGAAAATAATCAAAAAGTTGAAAATAAAATATTGGGTAGGGTTAGGGAGGGCTTTATTGTACCAATAAGGTGGCATCCATTTAATAATTAAAATTATAATTTACACTCAATACGTTATTATTGCATACTGTTTTATAATGTACTACAATACTGAAGTGCAGATAATTGCCACTATTTGCAACAAGTAGTATACTTGATAGTAGAAATCCTGCTATTTTAACATAGTGTAAATAGGTATTTGCACTTAGTGTAAATAGCATATTGCTAAAAATACTGCTATTTTCACTTAGTGTAAATAGAATCCATTGCTAATACGAGATTTGAAAAGGGAGGAAAAAAAAGTTCGGCAAAAGGCGGGATCGAACCCGGGTCGATCGTGTCAAAAAGCCAACGACTCAGACTTATCCATCTACGCCACTGGAGCTGATGTTTTACAGTCACTTTTAATTAAATGTAAATAGACACCCCGTATTTTTTTTATTCCATAGTAAGGCCAATTCATACAATACATTTAAACTTGAATTGTTGTTGTGTTTTCTGAATTGTTATTTTGTTTTTTAGACTTGCATTTGCGTTTGTAATTTGTTATTTTGTTTTCAGAATTGTGATTTGTTTTGCACTTCTCGGTCACCGTACCTACGGGATAAATTTGCTTATTAATTTTAAACATTTCTGTTATTGTTTATTCTTATTTGACCTAAATGCAAACTTTGAGTAAACCTGCACTCACCTGGCAGATCTTGTGGTTGTTGAATGGCAGCACCACTATACAATTATTTTCAGTTCTGTGGACAGTAAATGCAAGAATGTAATTTTATCAAATAGATAAGCAAAATGATAAATTTGGATACAGTTTTTTTTTGTTGTAAATGAATGAGAATGAAATTCAGTTGTATTTATTATTATTGATTTTTAAGTGAAAATTTGTTTTCCAAACTGTGTTTGGAAATTGAAATTGCTATATCATAATTTGGTATCAATAATGGTATCAATGGTATCAATCATTAATCTAAAGGTCTTGCATGCCAACACATAAATATATCACAAAAATGCAATCAATCAATCACTCAATCAATCAATCAATAAAGGGTATGAGAAAATCAAATAAATAAAAACCTTGTAATAAAAAAATAAAATAAAAAAAAAACAATGTCCAAAGACTTTCCAAAAAGTCTTTACTCTTAGTTTATTTGTTTATATAGCACAATTTAATACAGTTAGTATTAAAGTGTTAAATATCTGATCAATATCAGTATAAAATCTTTAAAGATGTTTTAATAGTCTACACTTTTAAAACCTTGCATGCAGTACTTTCTTGATAACAACCACGCGTAATGTATCTAGGGGAGTTCCGTATCACTGTCCTGCTAGAAACTACATTGACCAATCACGCGGGAGACATGGCGCTGACGTCACACCATGAGGCTCCGCCCTCGCTCGAGCCCCGATGATTTTTGTGTCAATTCCACGAACAAGGGAAACTGGGCACTGTCATTCATAAAGGATATACCGGCTTGGCAAATGGCGAAGACTTACGATTACCTTTTCAAACTCTTGCTAATAGGGGACAGTGGAGTGGGAAAGACATGTCTGCTGTTCAGATTCAGCGAGGACGCGTTTAACACCACCTTCATCTCCACAATCGGTCAGTTCACCGGTGATCTGGGTAGAAGGTATTGGACGGTGTCCCGTTATGTGCAGGACAATAGTGGTCAGATACAGTAAAGCTGTAATAATTAAGTTTCTAGTTGCATTTGCATTGGTAAAGTGGGTTTAAAAAGCACCTGTTTTTTAATTTTTTTTTTTATTGTATAAATCATGTGATTATGTGTTACATTAAAACATCTGGATTTGCTTAGAAATGCACAGGCCTATGAGTACATAGGCTCAGCTTGCTTATGTAGACATATTTAAACAAATACCTATCTATCTATCTATCTATCTATCTATAGATATTATAATTTAACATATATAGACAGATTACATCTATATCTGTCTGTATATACGGTTTCACATGTATAGATATTTTGGAAACAATGCTGTCGGCTCTGTGAAGGTGTGAGAGTTATATTTTGCTGACCAGTTCTGTATCTACTTTTAACCTGTCAAACCCTGATGACTATTGGCCTTAAAGTTCATACAGGAGTCTACACAAGGGAAACATAAACAGTGTATTGAGTTATATAGGCATTTTGTGTTCACGCTGATGGACTCAAGCCACTCAATACATTCGATGAGAAAGAAGGAATGTGCATCTTCATGATGCAGAAAACTTTCTATCAACTAGTATTGATAAGTATGCAGAGTGAAGAAGCTTGGTACCCTTTTTTTTTTTAATTGATTTTTTTGTCAGCATGAACAAATAACAAAAAAAAAAAAAACCGTTAAAAAGACATTTTTAAATACATACACTTTAAAAAGTAATGTTCCAAACAGGGGTTTTCACAGTGATGCCACAGAAGAACCATTCTGGGCTCATCAGTGAATAGTTCTTAAAAAAAAAAAATTCTTAGTGTGAAGAACATTTTGATATTTGAAAGAACCTTTTTCAGTATAAAGAACCTTCTGTGGAATGGAAAGGTTCTTCATGGAACCATAGATGCTGATAAAGAAGCTCTATTTTTATAATATATATGATTTATATGACATCTATTTTTACATAAAACAAAAAAGCCAAATTTGATTTTTTTAATATCTTAAATATCTTATACAATTTAAAATCTCAAGTACATTTATCTTGCTTTAAAGATTTTTAGACAAAATACTGCATAAGAAAATTATTTTGTTGTGTGTGTGAACGTTGCACAGTTGTCTTTCGTCTGCTTGCACAGAGAGTTTAGTCATTTCCTTTGTCGGTTTTTCCATCTGATTAAAACGTCACTGCCCCCTCTGCCTTTGTTTGCGATGCTGTCTTGCAATGGGGTCTCTGAGCCTTGACTTTCTTTCAGACTTTAGTTGTATTTAAAGCCCATTTTTCTGTACCATTCTCTGTTAAAAAGCAGCAATTTTGCTGAAAAAAATATGATGTTGGGATGTTAGAAATCATCACGGTCATTCTGCATAAACAACATTTTGGTGACAACACCAGGACAGAGTGCTGGGGAAAGTACAGTTTCTTTGTGCGGGGTCATAATAGACTTGACCATGAACAGAGGGCAGTACTGTTTGAATCCCCATCATGCTCTCGTGATATTCGCTCAGCACGTCTCAGCATTCTTCCGCCAATGCAGCTGAGCATTTGACTGGCATCTGTTTTCTTGTGCCAGGACGTCCATGACCCCGGTTGTGGCCACTCTGCATTTCCCCACACTTCTCTGAGCGTCCCACCTCTGCTTCCTGTGGCCGTGTGTGTTTCTCTCAGGGTTGTGATATTGCTTAACTAAACTGCTTGATAAATTATGTTCCTCATTGTTGCTGTAGCTAAAAACCTCAATTACTGAATGTAAATGTATTAAACATTTGTATCATTGACAGAAACGACATTTTCTGAAGAAAATGTGGATAGTGTTCACTCAATCAAAACTTACCATCACGATAAGTGTTGTGGATGGTTATATACAACTAATATGTGAAATTTTGCTTGATAAATTGCTTATGTTCTTCACTGTAGCTAAAAGAATCTACTGAATTACTGAATGTAAAAGTAATAACAATGTTTCATTGACTGAAGCGCCAATAAACAACTCAATTTGTATGTTTTCTGAAGAAAATGTGATTGGTTTTTGCTCAATCAAAACTCGCATCCACTAAAGTGAAAGTGTGGGAACTTTATTTGTTTGACAAAATGACAAGATAGAAGTCTTATTGATGGAGTCTATCAAAATTTAGTGAGGTTTGTGCTTAAGGCAAGAACTTTTATTTTTTGGTATAAACCTCTTGTTTACCAGTCCAGATCTTAAACCACTATATTGTTGTAGCATTAGACATTTTTCCACTGGAAAACCACACCACGGAGCAACTCATTTGACTAGTTGTATAAAGTGTAAGACATATTTTATTATTAATTTCTCTAAATTTCCACTGAATGCCACTTTTTGTCTCATAAATAAGCTTAGAAGGCCTCCATCTTGATTCAGTTCTTGATTAGAAATATTATCATCTCTCCACACCATCAATAGGTTTGAAAGTAAAAGTGACGTGTGGACAAGTATGTCCCATACTTGGAATTTGTGCTCTGCATTTCACCCAAGTGCACAGTGAACTCACACACACACACACACACACACACACACACACACACACACACACACACACACGGAGCAGTGGGCAGTCATTTTTTTTGCTGCGGTGCCCGAGGAGCAGTTGGGGGTTCGGTGGGTTTCACCTCAGTCTGACTCTCTAACCATTAGGCCATGAAAGTCAGAAATACAACCTAAAAATTTTGAGTTTATTGTTGCTTGGCACACAGCATTTGTGTGAGGCTAGCTGGAATAAAAATTACAAAAAAAAGCAATTGTCCACTAACCAGCAAGGCAAAAAAATGGCAAGAGGAGCAGCTTAACCCCAGGAACTGGAAATAACTCATTATATCATCATCACCACTGCAGTGCAACATTGATTGTACCATTGATTCCATGTGGTGCCAGTCGTTGAAGATCTGACGATGTTTCTCTTTTTCTCTGTTGCCAGGAATTGATTTCAAAATCAGAACTATTGAGCTGAATGGGAAGAAAATCAAGCTGCAGATATGGTGAGCCGTTTGTTTGTCATGGATATGCAGCGCTAAGTCCCGTTTCATATACGTCCCATTATATCATCATTTACACTTCATCTTCAGGCATATTTAAAGCTGTGCAAACTGTTGGTGTGTTATTCACATCTTAAACAGACTTTCTGAATATAGTGAACACAAAGCTTTTGTTCTTAATCAGAGTTTTGTTGCTATAAACAGTTAGCTATTAAGCTATTAAGCTATTGTAGGCTACTTTTAAAAGTTTAAGAGAAGAAACCTCTAGCATAAACACACATTTAATTAATCTTGCATGCAAATATAGATATCGTTGTCCAATAAAATGCTCTCTAGAATGAGAATACCCTCGTATAAATAATACACTTTAGAAGAAATAATATTCTTTAAAAGAATATACTTAAGTGAATGTAATGTTTTCAGGTACTTGATTGCATTTGCAATTAAATGAGAATACATTATAGTTTAAATGTATATTTAAGGGATAGTTCATCCAAAAAATGAAAATAACCCCATAATTTGACTTCAGAAAGTTTTCAAGGCACTTTAAGGAGGTTTATGGCCTCCTAAAATGCTTAGGCCTATATATCAGTTAGATCTTGTGAACAAAAAGATTTTCAAAATCTTTTAAGTGATATGTCAAATATATAACCTTATATAATTATAAATGGTAAAATAATTTCTATAAATTGACATTTCTCATTCTTTTTACCAGTTAGCTTGCAAGTTAAACAGTTAGCAGACAAGCTTTGTGTACTACTCGTCAATTTACCTGCTAGCTTAGCATACCAGTAACCTGTTAACATAGCATATCGCAAGCCCATTAACCTGCTATCTTATCATATCACTAGCCTTTTAGTCAAATTTCGAAAATTAGCCACTAGCCAAAGCCTTGGCATACTTTAACTGATAGGCGTATAGCCTACATATAAGATTGATTAATAAGACGGAAATAACGTCACACACTGTGCCTGGTCTTCCTGTTAACAGTCATAATGCTCACGCACCCTGTCCAGTTAGGTGACTAATGATCAGTGTTGGGGAAAGTTACTTTTAAAAGCTGTGTTTTTGTGAGTGAGAAGAATTAATGGATATTCATATTTATTTTAGAACTACAGTAACATCTTCTGATTTCTCTCAACATGGGGACAGGAGAGCTGTCAATCAATAAATTGGGGAAAAAAAAGTAACTTGCATTACTTATTTGAAAAAGTAACTAAGATATTCCCTTGTAAATTAAAAAGTAATGCGTTACTTTACTAGTTACTTGAAAAAAGTAATCTGATTACGTAACTCGCGTTACTTGTAATGCGTTACCCCCAACACTGCTAATGAAGGATGAGACGTGCAGACAGTAGTGTCATGGACAGGCTGTACATCCGTACCTCTCAGGATGTTTATATTAAAGGCTGGCAAAGAGCAGGGTGGGATTCACTGTTAACGAATGTGAAGTGTTAAAGCTGAGCCGGGTGACAAAGGAAGGAAGGAACAAGGTGAGGGTGCATATAGTATTTGTGTGTGACTCTCTGATTGTTTTACAGGGACACAGCAGGGCAGGAACGATTTAGGACGATCACCACGGCATACTACAGAGGTGCTATGGTAAAACACTATTGGCTACTTCTCATGTCTGTGTGGAAGTGTTGATCACTGAAGATGGATGTTTCAAATTACTGCTTGCTTTGTTTTCAGGGCATTATGTTGGTATATGACATCACCAGCGAAAAGTCATTTGAGAACATTAAAAACTGGATACGCAACATTGAGGAGGTAACATTGTGGAGAAATATGTTCACATATAGATTTGAATACTGTGCTTGGTCACGTATGCTGAATTGATAAAGTATTATCATTTAGAGTATAAAACAGATTTGGTCCAGGTTGGTCAATACACTGCTGTCCGATCATATTAGGGGGTCATTGTATAATAGGTTTGCTAGCCACTCTATAAATTTCTATCAAATATAATTTATTGTTTATTTGATACATTTGTTAGAGAATTTAATTTCTTTTAACTGTAACTTGAAGAACTGCTGAACTTCTCAATTACTCATTTCAGCATGCATCATCTGACGTAGAGAAGATGATCCTCGGAAACAAATGTGACATGAACGACAGGAGACAGGTGTCCAAAGAGAGAGGAGAGAAAGTGAGGCCTCTTACGTCTAACAAGCTTACAGTTTTCCATACATTATTTAAAGTTAATAATATAAAATGAATCTATTAACATGAAGAATAAAGAAAATGCATTTTATTTTAAAATGTCATTCTTGTAACACTACCTGGTTATTATAGGTATGTTATTTTGAATCAGATATACAGTATTTTGAGTGAGATTGGATATAATTTTAAATGATATATTTTGTATTTTTATTAAAAAAAAAATTCTGGTAGTTTTTTATTAATAACTGTTGTCATTTTTGCCTTTTGGTCCAGTTGGCAATTGATTATGGGATCAAGTTTTTGGAAACAAGTGCAAAAACCAGCATAAATGTCGAAGAGGCCTTTTTCACACTTGCCAGAGACATTATGGCTCGACTTAACAGAAAGATTGTGAGTGTTTTTTTTAAGTTTTTTGTAAAACTGGCAAAAAAAAGAGAAAAAAACCTTGTGTATTTTACTAGATATCATTTATCATTATTTGTATTAAAATAAAAAAAAAAAAAAAAAAAAAAAAAAAAATGTATCATTGTTACAATAAATCACGTTTTAAAATGGTATTTTATAACTCCATATTTTATAACAATTTTAAAACTGCATTTAGTTTGATATTGGTTGAGCAGTTACAAAAAGTGCAATATTTGATATAATTTACCATTAGTTGTACATCAATAATTTTTTAAAAATTGCTTACAATTATTTTAAACATGGATCATTGTTACAATGAATCACATTTTCAAAAACAGTCACTACTGCAGGTAAAACATTATTTTATAATTGCATTTATTTTGATATCGGTTCAGCAATTAAGTACAAAAAGTCGCAGGATTACTTTTTTTAAATTATATAAATTTTTTGGCAACCCTAATATAATTATCGTAATTTATTTTTAACATGTTTTAACAAAGCAAAATTTAAATATTTCTATTTTTCTGTTGACTAGAATGATGGTGGTCAAGCAGATAGCGGCGGTCCTGTGACGATTTCAGAGAAGCGCTCCAAAAAGCACAGCATCTTTAAGTGCGCTCTGCTTTAACTAGCTGTGTATCTGCGGCAGCCAGAAATGCTCTGCTGGTATAACATATCACATGAGCCCCTGCAAAGAGCTGGACTAGCAGGCTCGAGAACGGATGAAGGTTCGGGTTTCCAAGCCCTAAAAGTCAAGATGGAACAGAGGAATGATGCAATTTTGAGAGATTTAGTCGGTTAGCTCGGTGATAGAGTCACAATAGGAAACGTTTCCATTGTTGTGTGGTGATAATCGTGATGATTGTGTCAAAAGATAATGGATCAAATATGAATGTTTTTTTTTGTAATGTTTTTGTAAAATATTCTTTGTGGACACAGCACATGCTGTCTTAAAACATTTGCTGCTGAAGGCTTAGATGTATCATGTACAGTATTTCTGAATTAGTCAGTGAGTCTTGTTGTAATATGTTCTTGAGTGTCTTTTATACAGCATAAACACTGTTCTTGCACTGGTTCAAAAAAATTTAATAGAGAAGATGTGTAAAATGCAATTTTTGGAATGCTAGTGGGTTAAAAGCACTTTACATGTGTTTTCAATGAGCTCTCCTCATAGGCACATGTCCATGTATAGCACAGACAGACATCAATCCATCTGCAGGAAGGTTGCAAAGATAGAACATGATGGCTGCAGTGCATGGTGGGGAGAAGGAACATCTTCAGGTCAGGTATCAAAGGGAACACATCTTACTTGGCAAAGTCACCCATAGGAAGTGTGTGTGTCTGACACAGCCAAACCTGAGAACCATCAGTGTTAAGGAAGTAAGATAAATTGTGCCTGTGCTGTACTATAGATCCTTAGCCTTTGGGTGATAAAATATAGGGTTTATATTCAAATTCAGTCTAGCACTGATTTGTGAAATGTTTTGAATATGAAGATGATCATTAATGATTTAATTAGCATTAGATGATCAATAATTATTTAATTTGAAAACGGGCTGCTTGGCCATGTGAAAGCAAGTATAGAGACTGAGGTCCTTGTGTCAATGCTACAGTATGTTTTGTATTTTGCTAAGCAAGAAAGCCACTAATGCATTTCTGTCAGGATCACTATCGTCAAAGATGATTGACAATTAGAATACAGTTTGAATTGGTGGTATGGTTCTGTTCTGGGCAAGAACTCCCTGCGCATCCATGCAGCCTAGCATGGATGAGAGCAGGGAGAGCTGCAATAACCCCCCAGGGTAAACAGAACAGAACCAACATTGCAGATATCGTTAAAGTTCAATAATTTTATGTACACATTTTAGAATTAGTCTGATTCAAAGGATAATCGGAAGGCTGAATCCTGACTGACAGAGGAGGAGCTGGGGATGGAGGAGGGTAATTAGCGATTGAGCAATGCGAAAACTGCTGATAATACTGAGGGACCTTATATATGAATGCTTAGATAGGTGTCGTATAACTATAGGTAGATGGGGATCCGCTGAGAGTCAGCTGATGCGAGCTTGACTAACGTGACCTGCTAGAACTAACGCTACACTTGATGTTTATGAAAATTAATTAACGGAAACTGAGATGTTTTGTATTCCAGGTTGATATTTCTCACCTTTTAGCTCTTTTTCATTTTTTGATCGATAACATCCAGTGCATAATGTTATATATTCAATGTTCAAGCAACCTTTATTAACTGTTTACAAATTTGTTTCACCATAGGCTCTTAAATGAAACACAGTTGCCAAAAAAGTGGTATTATTTGTTTTTCATGCTTGTACTGTCACTATGTGTAGTTGTTTTTGTCAAAGGATGCAGGGTGAATGCAGTTGGTTAGATCAGCACTTTTGTTTTCAAACATGTGAGACATTTTGGTATCCTATTCAAACTGCACTGATAGTTGTGTCAGATGAAGTAGTACAGATTACAGCAAAAAAAGTCCCCATTTGGGAATTCTCTCTTCAGACTAATGCTGATATTGGGAACTTTAATGCCTTGGAACTGTATCCATTAATCATTAAGTCGCTTTGGATAAAAGTGTCTGCTAAATGACTAAAATAAATGTAATCTGTGTTGGACTGTTTGAATCTGGTTACCACTTAAGTACATTGAACGAAAGTTTTAGTGATCATCATTTTACTTCGACAAATGTAGCGTATATCATGACCACTGATATTCAGATGGGACCATTGTTATGCATGAATTTTTATTCATATTTGTAATTGTATGACCGAATTTTTAAGAGATAACTGTTATTGGACTTTATAATGCTATCTGTTACCTGAAAAGTTACTATATGCTCATTCAAACGTGTTAAAACCTTAAAGGGGTCATATGATGCTGCTAAAAAGAACATTATTCGAGAATAAAAGTTCTTCTTTCTTTGCGTGAACATTTGAGCGGCGTTATGCAAATCTTCCCACATAGTGAGGTAGATATGTGGGGGCGTGTTCGAACGAGCCATTTTAGGTAGGTGTGGCTAACTCTTAACTTTTATAAAGAATATCTCTTTGGATTTGAGACTTTAGTCTTTGCAACGTTACAGATCTTCTTTATGCACCAAGAGCTTGTAACACTCCAAAGAGAAAGGAAAAAATGAAATCGCATCATATGACCCCTTTAACAAAGAAAATGTGAACAAGAATTTGAAGTGTGGTTTTATTAATTGTAGACTTTTATACTAAATATAACCAAAGTAAATACTGTATAAACCTGTCTTCATATTTTTCAGCTTATTTTTCCAAGTTGTGTCATCTTTCTTCCAGCAATTCATCATCCAGAACAGCAGATGGTGCTATTACACAGTCTTATCCCAACAATGAACAGAATGCACCACTCATACAACATGCCAACTACAAACATTTTGCATTGAGGTAGACTCATTTTGTCCTTTGACTAGTTCACTTTGCATAGCCTTACTTTTTAGCCCATAAATTATCATTACATTTGACCAATCAGAAAACATCTGAACCATAACACATAAATGGTGTGATGAAGACCAGAACAGGTAGCAAGGATACATACTGTCACATAATGTATTTTGTACCTTAAATAAATATAATAATAGAAATACTTTTAAGTGCAAGCACACAAATAATGGACAGTTGATACTATGGCTTTAGAGTTGTACTAAGTTAACTCGATCACAACACCTGATTACATACTGTTGATGCAAGTACATAATGTTACAGGTGGATATACAGAATATAAAATGTGTCGTTCTTTGTTGAATTTATCTTCTTATCGGACTTCCACTGGAGTGTCTGATTATGGTTTGTTTGATGGTGCATCGTTTGTTGTGTTCTGTGCTGGTGAACCTGGATCATCAGGAGAGTCTCCAGCAAGGTCTCTTTCACTGCTTGATTCGTGGGCTCTTTTTAAGCTGTTTCCTAAGGACATGCAAGGTTTTGTGGACCAGCTCTTAGATCTTCCAGGGAGAAACATTGTGTCTTCTGGCAGAAGCAGATGGCTACCATCAGCTTGGACTTCAGAATCAAAGGGACCTACACCTGTTGGTATCTCCTCTGTTTGCTGTCCGTCTTGCTTCTCTGAACTTTCCTCCTTTCCAAGTCCTCCCTCAGGATCATCTGGTTCCTTTGTCACCTCCTGCTCAATATCTTTCAGGCATTTGTCCACATCGTCACTACCCTCTTCCCGTTTTACCTGATCTACATCTAGCGATGCCTGCCTACCAGTCATCTCTGCTGCGTTTCTTATCCCATCTTCAATTATTGACTGAGCACTTTCATGATTCATTGATCCACCTGAACTGTCCAGTGTCTTCTCCCCATCTTGCATTCCCATGTCCTCTTTACTGTGTCTAGAAGAAACTCTCAGCATCTGTTGCTCAGGCTGGTCAGAAGGTTGCTCTACTTTGAAACTGTTGCTGTCAGTCTGGTCTACCAAGGGTCTTACCATTGATACCTTTGGCATCTGACCAAAAAGACTAGGGTGTACCTTGTACTCACAGCCAGCACTCCAACGTCTTGTAGCTGGAGACCCATCCATTCCTTCTCCTTCTTGATTTGCTTCCCTTCCACTTGCTTGATCAAATGAGATTGTGCTCCAACACCTTCGTACAGTGGATGGGGATATGCTTTGTATTTCTCCAGGATAGTATTTGAAAGCTTTAACCTTTTCTAGAGGGTAGGAGGTAGTTGCCTGAAGTTTTACTCTCTCCGTCATCAATGCTTCTTTCTTTGTTGCACTATCCGAAGATGTCTGGTTGTCAGGAACTGTAGATTTTGGTGATTCTGGCACTGTCCCTTCAACCTCAACACCCTTATCACAAGGGAAGATTCGGATGTCCACACATGAGCCAAGGCGTCTTTTTACCCCTGGAACATCTACCTCTAGATTCTGGCCATATTTCTTTGTGTTGAGGTTTGTAGTGCTTATTGTTTTACTCAGATCTGCCTCTTTATCTTCAGGTGGACAGTCATCAACACCCAGGTAATAGCGGTACAGGCTGTACCCATCAGCACTGTTGATGCTACTGTGACGTTGGAGAGAGGAGGGGTCACAAATAGAAGAGGCTGTTGAGCGTGCCCGGGTCAATTCAGAGTGGTCGATTCCCACTAGTCTTTCCAAGGCATTCACCATTCGGCCATTAATGTCTTCCAGTTGGGACAAACGTAGGTCCACAGTCTGAAGGGAGGCCTTCATTGTGTTCTCCCTCTCATTTACCTCTTCAAGGCGCATGGACATGTTCTCCACCCTGAGCAGGAGCAAGAAGAGAATGTAGATGTGATGATTGCCTAGATAAAAGTTTGCAAACTGGGATTGAAGTGATTTACCCGTATTCCTGTACTGAAATTACCTTTCATTTGTAACCCTGATACGCTCATCATTTGAGGACTGTTGCTCATCTTCTTTCTCCCTGAAATATTCCTCCACACATTGCTCCTCAAACTCATACAGCATCTTTAGCTCCTCCGTGGTAAGAATAAGCTCTTTATGAGGAAAAGAGAGAATACATTCAAATATTGTTCTCATGTTCAGTTTGAGTTGATTACTCACATGGACACCTGCATCTTGATCCTTTGTAATTTGGTCTAGTTCTTTTTTGAAACTTACTTAATCCTTTATCCTTTTCATCTAGTTCTCCCTCCTTTTTCTTTCTACAGCGGCAGCAGAGTTTGCGGAAAAGAATGTAGAGGTGGCTAAAGATAATCATTGGTGGAGGTAGCACAGGCCTGTCATGGAAGGTCATGATGAGCTGATATCTCTGAAATTTCCACACCTGGTTGGAGATGGACTTAACCTCAAAGAACGTGTTGTTTTAATGGGATGAAACACATAGCAAGTAGCGAATCAACACCACTGAACTGTTACTAGATATAGAGCAATGAAGACATTTTTGTAAAGACCTATAGCCACAAAATATGTTTCTGACACTGTTTGGTTTTTTACATGCTTCAAGTGAAATAGGTCATCAAAACCATGAAATGGTAGCATTCTTACTTGAAGACAGCAATGAGCAAGTTCACAAGCAGGATGTTGGCCACTAACAAATAACAGGCCATGATGGCTGGAGTCAACCAGGCTCCAGGGATGCAGGGTGGAAGCTTTTTCCCATCCTCATCATATAAATTTTCTCCACAGGGGGCTGTTTAAAAAAAGCTTTCTTGTTACATTATAGTACCAGCAATCTTTCTGTTCCGCATTCACAACAATTCCAATGCCATTATAGCATTTGTAGGGTTATTTTTCATGACAACAGTGTTTATCATTGTGACAAATGTTTTGCTTACGATTTATTTCCATTGCGTAAACTTGAGCACATTCCAGAAGGGCAGAATAGACACGAACAGTCAGTGCAAGTGGAAACCAGAAACAAGAACAAAGAGTGCAACAAGAATTATTCAAATCCAACATCTTAATCAAGAGACAGGCAGGATAATCAACTAAAAACTGCTACAATCTGTATGAAAGAGTAATGGCATACAGTCTGAAATACTGAAATAACCACAATTTGACAACAAATTTTTCTGTCTCCAAGTTTGAAAGTTATTAGACTGAATACTCAAAAGGTTTGAGACCTAACACAACAAGAAAGGCACTAGACATGTTGTTATAGGGTAAACTGCAAACAGCAGGATCACATAGGTGACTGGGATATTAGTGAGGTATTTTGAAGGTGGATCAGAGTGTTAAAGGCCGTCTATCTACCCTGGAGGCAGAAAGCAAAATCTTACTATGAATTCTAGTCTTACGGTCTATCGAATCTGCAAACACCTCTCCATAGATCATCCAATAAGGCATGTAGAAGATATTGCGGGCCAAGCGCCATGTTGGCTCCTCGTCTGGGTGTAGGATAGCCTGCCGTGCCACACCGAAACTCATCAGGACCACCAACATGATCACCACAAAGTACAGCATGTCAATCATCTGCAAGACAGGTGGCAGCTTATTATATTCAAAAAGTCCATATAGTTGACAATCACGTGTACTAGGTCTAGAAGTATAATAGATTTAGTCAAATTAATTGCGTTACCATTTTCCCTATCATCATGACATAAGGTCCTAGGTACTTGTTGACTCCAAATATGTCCAGTACGCGGATATACCAGAAGATTATGTCTACGCAGTAGATCACACGGCCGTAGCCCATGTAGGGTTCATTTTGCAGCCTAAGAAGTAGGCCAAGCAAGAAGGTAGAGATGGCCGCCAGGTCTGTGATGTTCCAGTACTCCTCTAACCACATGTTTATCTTTTGCCTGAGCTTGCCTGGTTCTGACATCAAGATCTGGAAGAGATAGTACCAGATATAGGCTACAAGCTGATTCTTTGCTGTTGAGTTTGGGTTAATTTCATTGTTTTTGGATCGATTTCTAGAGCTGTGGGTGCAGTGGTGTTTTAAGGAGAGAGATGTACATCTTTACCTGTCTGACTTTCTCCAACCCCAAAGTGATGATGTATGAAATGACGAACCACTCTTGTATAGATGGCCAACGCTCCATCTTCACCAGTACTATGTAATTGTACAGAATGAGATAGCCAAGGTAGGAAATCTGTCCAATGCAAACTGATTTAAAATTTCAATATAGTTTTATTTATTATTTTAATAATACAGTAAAAAAATGGGTAAAATATAACCATTATTTTCTAAAAATAAAAGAAAGTATTCTACAATATCTTCTACTCAATACGTTCAGGGTATTTCCCTGCCTTTGGCCCAAAATACTGGGATAAAATAAGAAAACAGTTTGGAAAATGGATGAATGGACAAATTTTTGTACTTACAGTATTGAACCAAAATTTGGTGAAAGGGGCATTGTAAAACTCAAAGATCTTTGTTCCAATTGGAATCCGCCTCATTTTCTTATTACCTTCCTCCTCGTCTCCTTTTTTAGAGGCTGCATCTGCATTGGCATCCTAGATGTACATGAGGTGGTTATACAACAGGCAGAATTCATAGAAACTGCAGCCTCTCTAAAATATAAATCATCCTGGATTTTTTTTAACCAGACCAAACATAAGATTAAGAAGCCGTTTGATTCAGCATTAACCTCTGAGCTAGAGTTCCCGGACTGTTTTCCCCCCACAAAACTAACCACAATTACTGAATTTTTGATAGACCGTAAAACAATAGAGTATCTGCAAACTACATATGCTTTCTATTATTTAATCCTTCCACATTCTATCTGCATCATGCGTGTCACGCAAGACCTGTGTTTACTGATGGATTAAGCTCATATTATGTTGGGTCAAGAGCTTTCAGTTATGTACGCTACACTGATCTAATAAAGGAGGGGTTTGTTTAAATAGAAGGAGTGGTGCAGTTTTTACCCGGCCGGACTTATCATCATCCTTGGTCTTCCTGTCCTCATTTTTTGCAGTGACATGATGAGACGTGTCATCACCCAGACGGAAATCCAACAGCAGGATAAAAGGTGGGACAATGAGGCTGAGGATCACCTGGGGTTTGCAGAAACAGAAAAAAAAGGCATATTACAATCAAGAAATAACTTCTATCCAATTGTCTTTATTATTATATATATTTCCAAATGAATAACTCTACACACAATCTCTAACTCAGGGTTTCTACAGGTTTTGTGAAGGTAAATGTAAGACATTTAAAGACCTTTTTAAGCCCAAGTAAAGAAAAAATAGGGAATATATAGAAGGGCACACAAAGAAATTCATAAAATTAAGTAAGTTTATGATTAAAATAAGAACAAATATCTGCTAGTGTCGACAGAAAATTACCCTTTCAAGGGAAAAACACCCCACTGGCAGATATTTGTACTTGTTTTAAGCATGAACTCAATTTTCAAGTAAATGTATCTTGATTTAAGGATGTTTAGATATTTGTACTGGAAAACTAGACGAAAATAATCAGCAAGATGTTTATTTGTTGCAGTACATATAACATTTAATGCCATGAATTTATAAAATGTATGACTTGTCTTTCTGCTCCAATTTAAGACCACTTTAATGCCTTAATTTGTGGAAGGGCAAATTATGACCTTTTAAGAACTGCAGGAATTTCGGAAATGTCAAAAGAAAATACCTTACCTTCAGTCCTGGGTTTTTACCCATCCTCAGGCTGCCCATCCACATGTCAGTGAGGAGCATCTGGCTGCAGGTGTGGGCTATGAAGTCTCTGTGCTTGGCAGCCACTGCCAGCTTCAGACAGGTAGAGTTACTCCAGTTCTTTAACTCGTATGTCAACAGTTTCATGGCTAGCTGCTCATCATGTTTGTAGGACTGATCCAATAACTCATAGGCCAAGGTTCCAAACTCCCTAAAATTACAAGAAGAGCAATTTTACTGTGTAGAATACGTTTTTTTCAGTGTTTAAGTAACAAAATTGTTTTAAGACTGTAAAACAGTTAAAAAAAAAAAGAACACTTAGCATAGCATTTTAGCATTTAGATAGGGTGACCATACGTGCCATTTTCCCAGGACGCGTCCTGGCCAGGATTTGTTTTGGCTTTGTTTTCCTGTTTTCATGCTTGCTGAAGGTAATGATCGAAAAGTAGTTTGACCAATAACATGCAAGCATTGTACATAATGGACCAATCATGGTGTGTGAGAAGGTGGGATCTACGGTCAAAACGATGCAATTACGTGTACATATTAGGTGTGTTCGACTTAAAAGTAGTGCGGTCAGACTGATCAGTGTTTGACATCAAAGTACCTCGAGAGCGTTTCGAAAGCATAACCGTCTGTATGGTACTTTGATGTCATACACCGATCGGTCTGCACATGCAAACAAAGCCAAAACCTAGATATTTTAGGCAATATAGAAATCCTGGCCAGGACGCGTCCTGGGAAAATGGCACGTATGGTCACCCTAATTTAGATATGAGTTGTACTATTGCCTACATATTAGTGAACCTGACTTGAAAGGGGCTTTGCATCAACTCACTTGGAGTTGTTATCGAGGTCCTGGGATATGTCGTCCACCATCTCACTCTGAGACGACTCATGAGCCATAGCTTTGAGGAGCTTACAGGCCACCAGAGCTTTAGCCATACCCTCCTCGCCCCTCTGCCACAGGAACAGAGACATCTTCTGCCTTTTCATCAGCACTGCCCAAATCATCAGCTCATGGAATGGATACTGGAAGCGGCTGACCTCTGGGTCATCCACGTCAATGTCCTCTTCTTCTTCTTTCTTCTTCTTTTGCTTCTTCTTGCCTTTTGCCCTAGGCTCATCATCCTAATGAGGTGAACAGGATATTTATATTAATAGAGATATTGTGTGATCTCTCTGAGAATGTAAAAAGAAGGTCAAATATTTGACATGTACCTCCATTCCAAGCAGCTTTAGGGCTTTAGGCTGGAAATAAAGCGACATTAGATTGCTTAGACTATTTGTGCACACTTAAAACATATAGTAATTTGAGTAATCTCTATAGCTGCGTCCCAATTCAGAGGCTACGTCCTTCGAAGGCTGCATTTGAAGACTGATTTTTATCACCGCGGCGTGACGAAGGCTTTTCTAAATCAAAGGCTCCTTCAAATGCGGCCTCAAAATGCATCCTTCATTTTCCAGGCAATGAAGGATACAACAGATGGATCCTTTGCGGCCTAGGCTATCCCGAAATTCATTGTGCGCCGATGATGACAAGATTTTTTAAGAGAAAATGCCAGATTACTCTTTTCATTGTAAGTATTGGGTTTCAGTTTACTTGAATATATATAATGGTACAAATGTCCAAATGTGAGATTTTTTTTAAGCTGTTTAAATTTTGACATATCTTACCAAGATTCCATTTTATAGATGGTTTATACTTGTTATTATGCACATAAATGGACCGAGGTGAGCATATTTAGACAGGTTGTGAACCCTGTTTTCAGTCTGTTGAATATCACTTTGGAAAAAAGTCCAGCACAAACGTTGCTGCCGCTCGTCAAAGGCAGCTGTCACAGTTGCTAGGCGACAAGATCAATTCTTCGTAGGCTAGACCATTTAACAACACTCGGTGTGACCTTCACAGCCTTCGAAGGCGTGGCCTTTGAAGTATGCAATATTTGAAGGATGCAGCCTTCAAATTGGGACACAGCTTATGTCTTACCCTCTTTAGTCCATAAAGATTGTTATAAAGAGCTCGAAAGTTTTTTCTTGTGTAGTTACAGCGATATGCTCCGCCCATCAGGAACTCCATCACCAGTCCAATGTCAGTCAGTGTTATTTGGTAATCCGGTGGGAGATTCCCCTTTGAAATCAAAGAACAAAATTTTTTTCATATGAGATGTTTGTCATGTTAATTTTTATGAAAAAAAAGTGATGCATAAAATTATATTTTTACATTTTCTTTAGAAAACGTAAGCAGTGAAGTTGGATTAACCAGAATTCAAAAGTAATATCAGACAGCTTTACCTTTTTAACATCTCTTACGACAATATGTAGAGTGTTGGCAGGACCAAGTTTCTGAAAAACACAAAATAACACAAGCTATGAGATTGTGTATGATTGAGTAATAGAATTATGAGGAATATTAAAAAATATGACAGCAGGACCTGTCTTTTTTCTGCAGATTAATTAATTGCTCTCATGCTCTATTGTACTTCCTTTGTGATAAGCTCCAAAATGAAAATGGTTACAGTTCTTACAGTGTTGTATAACTCCTCTAATCGAGGGATGGTTAGAAAATGGTGAATGTTTACACCGTTTTCTAGCATGAGCTTGACAAAATCCACTCTGTCCAGAACCAAAGCGTCCATCATGGCCTGCTCGAGGGAATTCACCTGAAGAGGGCGACAGCGAGCAAGAACTTACAGTGTGAGGAAAACCTAAGCATACTGAAACACTAAACTTAAAGATAAGTAGGCTACTTCATGTATATGTTACAATAATTATATAGATTATCCAGTTGTGAATTTCGGAAAAGGTGGACTATAAACCCTCTCCCAAATGTCTCACTTAACATGTACCAGTGTTTACTACAGACTGAATGCCACAAAATAATGATAAGCAAGCTGCATGGATGGTGTAATTTGATTAATAAACAAATGACTCTTATGAGCCACTTTTGTTTAGGGAATCAAAAACCTACAGCACAAACAGTAAAGTCTGATTCACAATCAAATGACTCTTATGAGCTGGTTCTTTTAATTAATTGGTAACAAAGAATCTTGAACTCTGGAATTACTGGATCGAATTGGTCTCATGAATCTTTTACACAAGTTTTGTACTTTGGGTTCATGAAGAATAGCAGTAAGACTTCATATATAAATGAATGGTGAATTTATATGATATACATAATATATATACATTTAGGGGAAATCTAAGCAGAAGTGTCGCACTGTCTTACCCAATTCAGTAGTTCTAACTTTCTGGGGTCAGTTTCCTCTGGTTGTTCTGGTTTGGCTTTGCCTCCTTTGCCCTTTTTTCCTCTGGCCTTTCCTTTGTTACGTTGAGTTGCTCCTTTCTGCTTTTCATGAAATGGTGCTGCATTGGTGGAGATGGCACTAGTGAGGGTGCTCACAGGCTATGAAAAAAACAATTTACTTAAGAAAGGTCTTTATGAAATAATTTTTGTATTATTATTTAGAAACAAGGTAAATATTTCACTCACTGGTAGATTGTGTCCATACACAAATATTTGGTTGCGTGCTATATCCACTCTATTCCAAGCCAGAGCCAAGCTCAGCTGATCTGGAGCTGATGCGTTGGTTCCTGAATTACAACCAGCACACATTATAGTTCCTTTCTAACCATGAACTAAATTTGTAGTATTTCAGAAGGTCCGCATTTTCACGATACCTTTCAGTAACGCAGTGAGGATAGCCATTTCAATGTCATCTTGTCCCTCAGCGCCCATTCGAAAGACTGTTATCTACACATACCAAGTTAGACGGGGCAGCAAGACTTTAATATATTGACACTTTCATACATATTTATTTTGGGCGAGGAATGAATTACTGTGGTGAAAATGAATGGAAAATCTGTTTTTAGGATGAAAGTTCAGCTTAATTTTATTAGCATTAGCAGGACCTACTTATTCACACTCTGAATAACTAGCTTATTTCCCTCTCAAATGAAGTAATACAGCTTTCCTTGTTTATGATGTCTTGTATCAAATGCGATTACCTCGAAGTTGCAGTCACATGTACGTTAATGTTAAATGTAATCACGTTGGCATGGATGAGTGGCCCTCTTCCAAAACATTCCTGAGTGTTAGCATGCATTGCTAATGAGAGACTTATGGTGGAGTCTGGGCAGTTATTAGTACCTCATGGCTCCAATGGGAGGGGCAACACCTTAAATTGAACTCTTTATATTTTGAGAATGAATGCTAGTTCATTTCCTGTTTGATATCTCGGTTTAAGCAAACCATTTGGACACAGATGAAAAACACTAGCATGCTTGCTTTCATAATAATAGCGTCTGCTAAGCTATCAATAGTCATGTTTAATAGTGGGCTTGAAAGTTGAATGTACATTTATTTCCCTATTAATATAAACCATAAAAGGCTTTATGTATGTGGACATTTGAGCTCTTAACATACATTAGCATTGGCATTTCATGTAAAAACACTGCTGTGGAAGGCCATTAACCTATCTAATGCCAGACATCGAGATGTGATGTCACTGAAATAAGAGGAGGAGATGTTCAGTGTGGATTAGAGAGAAATGGATCCACCCTCCCTCCCCCCATCTGCTCATATTCAGGAACAGGGTGAATGAATGTAGCTCGTCTGCAAGAACAGGTGGCACTATGCTGATCCTAGCCCAGATGTATAGAGCTACAGATTATCTCCTGTCCTGAGGCAGTATTACTAAATACTTAACACATCACTTAGCCTCAGTTAAAGCTGCACAAATATTACCATTAACCAAGTTCCCAGAGTACACTGGGTCATCCTGTAGGTGATATAGGTAAGTATCTAGCGATTGTGAAGTCCGTTCTAACATATGGAGTCTGAAAGGAATTGCAATCTGTTAATCACAATGGTCTCATATCTGAGACATTGAGACATATGGTCTCAATGCTCCTGATTAGAGCATCCGTAAAATGCTTATGCATATGAAAGGATGTGAGGTGACATGATGTTATGTACCTGGTTAATACAACTAGAGAGCAAATGCAGATGGATATATGAGAGAGACACATGAATAAAGACACATGACAAAATTAATAATGAATGGAACTGTTTATTGATGAAAGTTTGCACAAATAATTCAAAAAAATATAACATAATATAAAAATATAATACAACTTTTTATGCTTAGTTATTTTTATATATATATTATTATGCTGTTTTAAATGTATATTTGAAAAAAAAAAAAAAAAAATTTCTAAAACCAGCCTTGGCTGATTTCCTAGTCTTAGCTGGTTTAGTCTGGTCTCCCAGCCTGGCCAAATTGGTCTTAGGCAGGTCGCCAAGCTGAAAAGTATCCAAAGCCAATCTAAAACAAGAAGACCTGACCAAAATGGGAGACACACTAAGACTATCTTAGGCTTAAGCAGTTTTATCAGGGAAGAAAATGAGAGTGGGTTTGTGTTGATGGATGTTGGTCTACATTGCTACATGATCTTACGTGATTGTAGATACTTACCAACTCCCTCTTCTTCATGCATTCAATGACCATGAGCAGAATTTGCCCTGACTGCATTTTGTTGTAGTTAAAGGTTTTCTGGATGGTGACCAGCAGTTGCTCTTTTACGTCCTCGTTTACCAGTCTAAAAAATACAAGTCAGTTGTGATAATGAATAGTTTTGACAGCTGATTCTCAGTCTTTCCATTAAAGATGGGTCAGTACTAGAAATGTATGGGATAATGTGCATGTAGCTAGTCATTAGTGGACATAAACCCCTACGGAGGGATCAGGACCCCTTTGGGGTGATGCAAAGGGTTCAACTGATCTTAAATTAATTATTTAATTATTTCTCATTTATATCAACATTTATAGTTTCAACATTTGAAGACAGAATGACGCTATTGTTAAATCAGAATCAAGTATTCCAGAGATCAGTGTAATAATGACTATTAATACTCACCCTTCAACCTCAGAATATTTGTGGGCAAAGGAAATGATGTCAGAGGCTCGACCACTGCCATCACAGACCACTACAGGCACTGGCGGTTCCTCACGCAGGCTTTCCAAGACAATCGAGATCACATTGGGACCCCCCTCCACAATCAGACATACCACCGGTACACCCTGGCCCAGTCCTAACATGCATACACAGAAAAAAGCAATGAACTTACCTAAATGTTTAGAATTTCTTAGTACAGGGATTGTGCACATATCAATATAATACTATTACAAAACATTAGCCTGAATGTTTGAGCCTTTTGGGTGTTTTGTGCTTTAAATCTTATTTTCAATTACTCCAAATGCATGCACATTACAAATCAAAAAGCCCTTTTGTGATTAACAAAAGGAGATGTATTTAAAAGTCAGATAAGTGGTGAGCATAATCATTTTAATTTGACTCTCCCGGGTCTGATCCCAGATGACGATGTGAGTGGTGACAGCTGAGCCTCCCTTTGCTGTCCCTGCCTTATCACGAGCTCCAGGCATAGGATGACAAAGGGAAACCCACAGGTCACAGACACCAAAGCCTTGATCAAATCTGAAATGGCATGGAGCATATCTCCATTGGTACCTGACCCCATGAACCCCATTACTGATAATCAGGATATATGTCATGTCATTCAAACCCTTAGCAAGCTTTCAAATGTGCCCTCTTAGGATCAGAGGTACATTAGACCTAAAGCAGACAAGATTTGCTGATGCTACCGCACTTACGCGTGTTAATCTTCTGGAGGGAGATGTGTTTCTCTAACTGCCTGCGTAGTTTGACCTCCGCCCCATATTTCCCACATGTGCCATTATCGGATAGTATGAAGTGCGAGTGGCTATTGTTGAGAACGGCAAGTTTGCTCAGAGGATTGGAGATGGCCTGATATGGTTTGCTCACCTGAAAAGGAACAGTAAATTTTGGATGTCACTGGACAAGTAGATGACGTAGCATAGCGCCTCAGGAGATTATTATTTCATATGTTTATGAGCACCATCATGCTTTTTACTATACATCAATAGTTTGTGCTTACATCTTTTCCAATTAGATCCTCTTTGCTCTCCAGGATTCCCCATGGAGCGATACCTATAGCACAGACCTTCCCTCTGGATTTCGAAGAGTGATCCTTCAAAGCATCTCCAACGTGCCGGATCACTCCTACATTGTGACAGTATCATAAAACAGATTAGGAAACTATATGTGATATCAAACCAATCAAATATTTCTCAAGAAACCAAATAGAAGATGGATCCAACATTTGGTTCCAACAAGTGATTTCAACCATGTGGATTGGAATCGTACTTGTAGACCTGAGGTGAGCAACTACTTTTCTGGAGGACCACTGTCCTGCAGAATTGAGCTCTATCCCTAATTAGCACACCTTTTCTAGTAATCCTGAAGACTTTGGTTAGATTTCTCAGGTATGTTTGGGGATGGAGCTAAACTTTGCCGGACAGTGGCCCTCCAGGACCAGAGTTGCCCATCCCTGTTGTAGTCAATAAATACCCACCAGTGCTGACTCCACCAGTGAAGATCCATGCTCCGGTGGTCACGGCAGCCTTGATCAGGCCTTTTCCAAAGACTTGCTTGAGTTTGGGCTGCAGGTCAAAGTTCTGGAGGCCACCATGAACTGATATAAGCAGTGTGGGCAACTCCAGCTGCCATTCCTTCACCGTGAGATGCAGCAAGTTGTCCGGCTTAGTATCATATGACACCCGAATATACTGTAAGAAATATTGAATTATAAGATTAATGCCAGATTTAACTGTTGTTCTTGAATGAAATATGTTTATTTCCTCACTAAGTGAACTATGTTAGCAGGGTTCTTTTCTTACAATTACGTTGCCACAAAAATGGTTTGGTAGATTATTTAGATTTACACTCTCAAGAGGGAATTCACTGAGAATGTTTTTTATCGCCCTTTTCTTACAGGTGGCTATCGAATAAGACTCAGGTTTTTGTGTCAAAATACTAGGTGCAATAATAGTTAGCAAATTCACCCCATAACGTTCAAAATAGATACCATGGCTTTGTTGACAAATCCTCCTCCTTGAAATTCAGTGATGCCATAGGCATCAGTAGGGGCAGTCTGGGTATGTTTAACCACGGACCATTTCTCTTGAGGAGGGTCCACTTGCACAAGCTGGTTCTCTTCTGAGGGCTTGTTGGTGATGGCGCCTGCCGGAATGGCCGGGTGCTGAATCACTAGATAACCACAGGCGCACCTGAGGAAAATCACAGCAGAAGTAATGCTGGAGGTCTATTTTATTGCATACAACAGGATGTTGCTTATGTAACTCAATTAGCTGACATTTCACCATGGAAATAATTTGGTTTGAGGGTACTGCTTATTTTTCTGTGCACATAGACCACCTATCAGGGTTGTGTCTAAATTGCGGTCTGTGTTCAATGGGCACATGCATCAGTGCACACCATGGCATCCCTCCACCCACAGGAAGTGTGGTGGACTGAACTACACCGGCCCCATCACATCCAGCCTTGAGACATGCCCACACAGTGATCTATGAAAGGGCTTATGATGTCACACATCACCCCTCATTACATAAGAGTCTAAAAAAGCCTCAAAACAGAATGAGTCATAGAGGTAATTTGTCTCGAACAATGGTGTCATTATATGTAGTTGCGTGTTCATTTGAAATTGTTCAAAATAGAAAGGCTCACCGTGTTGGGTCCTTGGCTGGAAATATATGAATACATTCTCTTTTGTGAAAGGTTTTCTCAATCCAAGCTTTCTGGCCCTAAGAAACAAACAAGAAAAGACAGTAAATAAAATAAAATAAAATAAAATAAAATAAAATAAACATTAAATAAAATAAAATGAAATAATACTTTTCTGACCCAAAGAAGCAGAAATAAAATAAAATAAAATAGTAGTTTGGTTATACAAGCACAAACCTCCAACATTACACATATATTTAATGTACCATTCGACCATATTAATATATGTATAACATCAATTACAGCAAAAACTGCTTTTAGTCCCTTGGGTTTGCCCAGAGTGAATACAGTAAATCGTCTTTGCGATGATAATCCTTACTAAAGTATGAGTGGTACAGTATGCACAAGCCGTAGATATACAGAACACATGGAAGAGAAAATATGTACATGGCAAATGTCTAAAGTGATTAACTATGGAGACTTCTGGTGAAATGCATTTGTTCATTTGTTGTACCACTGATAAGTGTGCTTTTAGGAATATACTAGTACACAGATAATGCTGGTCTTTTACAGTTCCCGTAATCAGCTACTAAAACTGCAAAGCAACTGTTTCTTGTGTCAGGATGTGCAGATACGAGTTGAATGAAAGAGCATCCAGAGAGTCATTGACCATATCCAGGCTGTGGCCTGTTTTGCCTGAAATTATTAGTGCATAGCAAATTGGAGTGCAAACTCTGCTCCAGACCATAGTTATTCATCTCTTTTTTCTGTTCTGAGAAGGAGCCAAGGAACCCCACCAACATTTTTAGCTTTCGCAAAAGATTCTGCCGTGCCAGCTTTGTGTTCCGCACGCTGGACGAAAATAACCTTTGGTTCAAAGCAATATCTGTCTCGGCTTTTGTTATTGGTTCAGCCCTAATTAAGACGAAAGCTTTTGAGGCAAATCTCCGAAGAAAAATCAGTCACAGTATATTAGCCAAGATAAGAAAGACAGAGCACGTTAGAAACCCACAAAAACCATGGCTTTCCATCACACAATTATAAGTATAAAGCAATACATTCATGGTTTTTAAAGTTTGTCACCTCTTAAATTTTTGTTGCACTTTTTAAACTTAAAAAAAAAAACTTTCTTTAAAATCAAACATTGTTTAACAAAGACAACGTTTTATTGGAAACTGCCAATTGTTGTTGCATCAAGAAAAACATTGTAAATCATTCTCAGTTTATATTTTAATACTACGATCTCATAATTCCAATCCTGATCATTCCTATCTCATCATCTCATCAGTAGACCCTGGATCCATGGGCTGCTTCTGGTCACCCAGCGTTAGCTAGTAGGGGTCCTACCTGTGGAGCCTCTAGTTGACATTAAGAAGGTGCCAAAGAGAAAGTTTCTGCATCAGTGTCCCTCCTGGAGCTCCGCTGGTGAGGGGTGCTCTTTCCCAGAGCGCCGGCACCCAATGAATCCCACAGGACATGAAACTTCATCACTTTATGAGGGGCTGTTCATATGACGAGCATGTGAGCAGGCTCTTTGTTCGGGGCACGTCCCATGACTCCAGTTCAAGGTAATCCTTTTGGGAGTCCCATGACCCCTCTCTCCTTGCCCACAGGGTATTTTCATCCCTCGCTGGAGCAAAGCACAATAAATCTACTTTGATAGCATCATAACCCCGTGAAACGCACTTTTTTAATTCTCAGAAAACCTTTTGAGATGGCTTTTCTACCTCAAACACTTCTTGCAAGTTGATGTTGAGAGAGTCAGGTTTGTATCTAGAAACAGACAGGAATGGGAACTCAGCAAAGCTTTTCACTTGAAAGTCTCACACTCCTCCGACCACTTTGATTTCAAGCCCAATTTGCATAATTGAGAGAATTGGGCGCAGACATTCTTTTGAAAAGAGGCCTAGTTGAGACATGACAGGACTCCAGTTGGGGGCAAGGTCATCCAGCACTAATTGTTGAAATTGTTCTGACGGACTAACAATCACGTCTAAGAACTGATGACGCTACTGAATTTAATCTTTTAGCGAATAGACTTTTATACAAAAGAGGAGAAGTCTTGAACCTCATCATCATAGTCGCAAACTCTACTCAATAGAAGTCAGTTTCATCAGTTGATTCGAGAAGTTACAGTTGTGAAAATATTCATAATTCATTTTGAGTGAGTTGGTTTCATGAAGTGACCAGTAGTTGGGAAAAAGTAAATCATCAGTAAATCAGTCTAAGCTGGTGTATAGCTGGTCTACTTGCATGACCAGCTTTAAAATGTCCTCAACACAGACCAGCCTAACCAATTTGGCCAGGTATGGAAATGATATAACCACACCGGGCTGGTTTAAAATTATTCAGCAGGGTTGCCTGGTCAACTAACATGGAGAGATGACACGCAAAATGAAGATGTCCATTTGTGCCCTTTATGGGTCAAATAGAAATGGTGAGATCATTGGTTTAAAGTGCTTTTCAATGGGTCCTTTCCTCAACCATCTCACATTTTCATCAAAACGCACATGGACTAATTAAAGCTCTTGAAGACAAAGGGCTCTTGCCACTGCAGTAGTTGAGCCAGTGTGATGCACTTATTTCGGCTTGTTTAAACTCATTAGCCACAGCAATTAAAACTCAAATCCGCTGAGCGCTCATCAGCTTTGTTCGAGTTTTGCTCAGAAAATGCACAAAAGCTCTCTAGGAGGAAAATCTGATTTTCTTGCTCAAATTAACAAGGCCTATAGCAAACCTGGCAACAATCAACACTATTGAGTCTTTCCACATAGTCAGACATCTCACATGTTGTTGCTCAACTAAAAAGCTGTTTGTTCATAAATAGGATTGCAGCTGCGATTTATGAGAGCTGAAAGGGGGAAATCAGATTAAATGTTTATGCAAATCTTTCCTCCAGATTTTTTTTTAGATACAGAAGTTTGCATTTTCACATTATAAAGGCAGAACCCACAAAGATACGATAAATACAGTAAATACATACTTTCTGAAATTTAGATATAGCATTGCCTGTTCACACGCTTCATGAATTGTATGAGTCTCTCTGAAACACTGAAGATCACATGAGAGGGCAACAGTCCAGTTACCCATTCCTTAGAACTAATGAGCAGTGTGAGATTTGATTTGCACTCACAGTTCAACTCACAACCTCGTAAAAAACACTTCATGTGTATTTAAAATCATCTGCCTGTCTGTCTATATATCCATCCATCCATACATAATAAACATCTAGCAAGAGAGACCAATATCTTACTTACAAAGAACTTTTTACATCATTTTAAGGTCTTAAACTGAAAAGCTGTATGTTTATTGGGATCGTTGTTTTGATAGTTTCCAATACAGTACTTCCCATCTTCATTTTTAGTTTTCAGTTTTACAGAGGTTATACCAGGTCTGGAGACAATAGGTCTGTGGACTTCTGGGTAAGTTTAACATGCTTAACCTTTTTAAAGCAGTGCTTTCTCCTTCTTACTCTGCCTCCATAAAGACTCATTGTCTGTGTGGGTTTGAAAATCCAGTTAGCCAGCATCACATGAGACCAACATGTCACTGATTAGCCTTGAGATTTCTTAGTCATAAGACACATTTTTTTGACAACTATGTTTGTGTGAGAGTGTTTTTGTCTGTCTTTGAGAGAGGGGGAAGGGGCAGAGACCGAAAGATAAAAAACTGTATTTTGGAGGATGCATGCATTCGAATGTCAAAGGAAGTGTTGTAGTAACAATCATATCCTTCTTTCCACATTGACTCAGACTGGACACACATCCTTCAAATCTGAGAAAAAGAAAAAGCCAGTTTTTACTGTACTTACAGAAAATAATAAAGGCATTACTTATGGTTACATGTATTCACTAATCACTCATTTGTAAGGTTCGTAATCCCTCACAAGAATTTGATTCATGCATTCTGACCTCTTTACCCGCTACTGTAAGATATTGAGTAAATTGCTTAATTTGACAACTCCTACATGTATTGCATCAGTCCAAAGTACGACACTCGACATTAGAAAGAGTCTACCATTGTAAAGATATATTTGATTCCTTGGGCAGTTCTGAAGGCTATATTTTCAGTCTTAATCACATGAAAGCAGACATTTGAAAGTAGGAAGGTAACGTGCTTAATCCTGTCCAGCTGCTGGTGCTCATCCTGGGCATTATGGGGGATTAGAGGCAGCGGAGGAGCATCAAACCACAGAGGTGCCACTCATTCTGGTGCTGCTGGAGAAAGCTGCGTTACTTGCTGGAACCACCCTTTTGATCATTAAGATTAGGATTTGGATTAGTAAGAGATTTAAATTCATTTAAAGATGTAAATCTGTTTTATATAATGCATATCTAACATCTTGTTTTGCAACATTGCAACAAGTTAAATTTGCTTTTCAGATTCGTTGGAGCAGCCGTGGTTAAAGCTGCAACTGTAAAGATAATCAAGTCAAGTCAAGTCAAGTCAAGTCTGCTTTATTGTAAATTCTTCCACATGTACAGCACATACACACAGAGAATTGAAATAATCAGCAAGCTTTAAAGAGAGAAATCTTTTTTTTTTTTTTTTTAATTACGTTTTCACGTTATCCCTTTGCAAACACTGCAACAAAGGTGTAAATATAAGTGGAAAATGCAATGAGAGCTATAATATAATATAATATAATATATAACTGTTTTTGTATTGTTACTGCATGATGACACATTATAGCAGTAATATTTAAAAATTATATAATAATAATAATTACTATTATTATTATAAATTATATATTATTATATTATATATTATTATATACAAATGTATATAATTCAAATCCTTGAATTAGCTGGCCGAATGGTTTTCCTA